TCTTAGATAGTAATTCGGATGAAGAAAAACCCGGGCGACACTTCTCTCGGTATAGTTCTCAAGCGAATGATTATATGATGAGTCGAGGCTATGACCTTTCACTTGGTGAAGGCCTTTATTTTGGTCAAGGTATTAGGGTTCCACCCCGTTCTACCTATGTACCAAAAGGAAAACCAGATAATTACTACAGTCGTAATAGAGGTCTGGGTTATGATTCATCCGAAGACGATTATGGCCAACAAATCATTAACCAATTAATAGATAGGAGCGGACATTCATCCGACACTTCAAATTGGGATTCTGACGTGAGCATTGGTGAAAGATTCAAATCCCTAATGTCGAACATGGCGACGGTTGACCCTTCCACAACAGAAGAAGACGATCAGTTACCTGTTTGGGAAGATCCATGGATGCATTACATGAATATCCAATACGGTGATCGATTTGAGCAAAGAGAACCTCCTACCGAGGATAAAGTGGTTCAAGTTAATATGGGTGACGAAAATAATCCGAAGCCTATATTTATCAGCGGTGATCTCCCGCCAGACGAAAAAGAGGAATTAATTGCCCTCGTTAAAGAGTATATCGACGTTTTCGCATGGAACTACGAAGATATGCCAGGACTCGACCCAAATGTAGCAATGCATACCCTTAACATAAAATCGGATGCTAAACCTGTCAAGCAACAACAAAGACGGTTTCGTCCGCAAATTATGGAGGCAATAGAAGCTGAAGTTAAGAAGCTAATTGACTCGGGTTTTGTCAGAGAGGAACAACATCCTGAATGGTTGGCCAATATCGTTCCAGTCCTCAAAAAGAACGGAAAAATCAGAATCTGTATTGACTTCAGAGATCTGAATACAGCATGCCCCAAGGATGATTTTCCCCTACCGATTACGGACGTCATTATCGACAACACATGCGGGTTTGAAAGAATGTCGTTCATGGATGGATTTTCTGGGTATAATCAAATCAAGATGCATCCGGATGATGAAAAGCATACAGCTTTCAGAACACCTCTTGGCGTCTTTTGTTATACCGTTATGCCTTTCGGTTTGAAGAACGCCGGTGCTACGTATCAACGGGCGATGACGAAGATCTTTCAAGAACACCTTAGGAAGACAGTCGAATGCTACGTTGATGACCTAGTCGTTAAGAGTCGTGATAAAAATGACCACATTAACGATCTAAAGACAATGTTCGAGCTTATGAGAACTCATCAGCTGAAAATGAACCCGACTAAATCCTTCCTGGGAATGTCGAGCGGCAAATTTCTTGGATTCGTCGTCACCACAAAAGGTATTCATATTGATCCTGATAAGGTGAAGGCGATAAACGAACTGCAGCCTCCAAGAAATCTTAAAGAACTCAGAGGATTGCAAGGTCGATTAGCATATATCCGTCGGTTTATATCGAACTTGTCCGGAAAATGTCAACCGTTTTCCAAACTCGCAAAGAAAGGCGTGTCGTTCATTTGGGATGAAGCATGTCAGAAGGCATTCGAAGATATCAAGAAATATCTAGCGAATCCACCTATTCTCTTGCCTAGAGCATATTCATTGACCGAACCATGCTCTAATAACGTGGCTGAATACAATGCGTTAATAATCGGACTTAATTTCGCCAAAGAGCTGGGGGTCGAATACCTTGAGGCTTTTGGAGATTCTCAACTGGTAGTTAATCAAATACGAGGAGAGTATGAAGTCAGAAATCGAGACCTGATTCCATACCACCAGGTGGCCATTGAGATGGCAAGTTCGTTTGAAGAATTTTTCATCGAGTACGTTCCACGTCTCCAAAACGCATACGCAGATGCGTTGGCAGCATTGTCAGTATCCTTGGCTCAACCTCCCAAAACAGAGCAATTGATTACAGTGAGGACTCACCAGCTTATTGTCCCAATCTACGATTCGAATGCCAAAGAGGTTTACTCAATAGGAGTTGAACCTGAAGTTCGAGATTGGCGTTTTCCTATTATCGACTATGTCTTACATGGTATATTACCTGAAGATGTAAGAGAAAGGGAATCGATTCGGCGAAGAGCGCCGAGATTTTATTACAATGCCACAGCGCAAATGTTGTATCGGCGATCGTATGATGGTCTTTTACTCCGTTGTCTATCCAACAAAGAAGCGGAACAAGCGCTCAAAGAGGCGCATGATGGGATATGCGGTGCACATCAGCCTGGGCCTAAGCTCTGTGATCGACTTAGGAGAATCGGGTATTACTGGCCAACTATGGTAAAAGACGCAGCCGACTACGCACGACAATGTGAAGCGTGTCAATTACATGCAAACTATATGCACATACCCCCTGAATATCTACATCCTTCGGTGACATCGTGGCCGTTTGAAACTTGGGGAATGGATATAGTAGGTCCTATTTTTCCACCTTCGGTTAAAGGAGACCGTTTTATTCTAGCAATCACCGATTACTTCTCAAAATGGGCAGAAGCAGTTCCACTTAGAGAAGTAAAGGCAGCTGATGTCATCAAGTTTATTAAACACCATATCATATATCGGTACGGTGTGCCAAGGCGAATAGTGCACGACAACGGTCCTCAGTTCGTGAGCAACGCATTTATCAAATTCTGCGGTAAATTCATTGGCCGAAGCTTTTAACAAGACTATCATCAAAATTCTGGCAAAATTGGTGAAAACCAATAAACGAGATTGGGGCGACAAACTCGGCGAAGCGCTCTGGGCTTATCGTACGACCGTCCGCACGCCTACCGGAGCCACCCCGTATGCTTTAACGTATGGGTGTGAAGCCGTTCTTCCATTGGAAATACAGATTCCTTCTCTCCGTATCGCTCTCGTAACGTGAATGACGACGGAAGAACATCATCAGAAACGTCTCGAGGAGTTAGACAACAGATCGAGTTTTATCAAGCTAGAATTTCTCGGGCTTTTGATAAAAAAGTCCGACGACGAAGCTTTAAAGAAGGAGATCTAGTTCTCGCCGTTCGAAGACCTATGATTCTCACTTCTAAGAAGAAAGGCAAATTTGAACCTAAATGGGAAGGACCGTTTGTAGTAGAAACAGTCTACTCGAACGGTGCCTATCGCCTGGTTACTCAGGATGGCAACAAATTGATGATGCCAATCAATGGAAAGTTCCTGAAAAAGTATTATCCGTAATACGTTCAGGATAACTTATGTAAAACGGGAAGTTCCTAGAGAATCCTATATAGGATATTTCAGGATAACCCGATATCAGTTGATTATTCTAAATGAAAACTGATCATGTGAATAATCTATTCTTAATTGTTATAAAAATAATTAAGATCCTCATATTACTTTTGTTGAGATGAGATTTAATCACAATTAATCTTTCCTCACAAAACCCCTCACCGATCAAATCGATCGACAAAGGGTACACCAAAATCCGTCATGAATCAAAGTTATTTAAATTCCCACAATCCATTTGGTCAAACCTTTGAACGGTCCACAACCCATTTGGTCAAACCTTTGAACAGTTAGGACCAAAGCCAAAATCCCCTCTCGATTCTTTCAATGAACGAGAGGTCCACAAATCAAATGATCCAACCTTCCTACAAGTTAGGATCGTCTCAAAACCCCCACTTGGTCAAACCTTACTACAGTTAGGACCACAACCAAAATCTCCTTTCGATTCATTTTACGAACGAAAGGTCCACTTTTGAATTGAGTAATCAAACCTTATGACAGTTAGGATTATTCAAACCAATCTAGATTCTCTAAGTGGAGATTCCACTTTAAGTTTCCTTTTCACCAGGAGATAGAATATAAAATTCTTCCTCTCCGATTCTGGGTTTATCTCTACCAACAAACAAGAGACCAGGAGATAGAATATAAAATTCTTCCTCTCCGATTCTGGGTTTATCTCTACCAACAAACAAGAGACCAGGAGATAGAATATAAAATTCTTCCTCTCCGATTCTGGGTTTATCTCTACCAACAAACAAGAGACCAGGAGATAGAATATAAAATTCTTCCTCTCCGATTCTGGGTTTATCTCTACCAACAAACAAGAGACCAGGAGATAGAATATAAAATTCTTCCTCTCCGATTCTGGGTTTATCTCTACCAACAAACAAGAGACCAGGAGATAGAATATAAAATTCTTCCTCTCCGATTCTGGGTTTATCTCTACCAACAAACAAGAGACCAGGAGATAGAATATAAAATTCTTCCTCTCCGATTCCGGGTTTATCTCTACCAACAAACAAGAGACCAGGAGATAGAATATAAAATTCTTCCTCTCCAATTCTGGGTTTATCTCTACCAACAAACAAGAGACCAGGAGATAGAATATAAAATTCTTCTTCTCCGATTCCGGGTTTATCTCTACCAACAAACAAGAGATTGAGAAACGGAATATGCAATTCTTTTTCTCTCCAATTCTGGGTTCATTTTCCTGTATAGGAAATATAACCTATTCTCATTCCAAAATCCATGTCGTTCACACATGGGGGAAGTTATCTCTATCCCTTAATAGAGATAAGCCTACATCTAACACATGTAGCCTACATATTCAATATGATAGTTCAAAGTCTAAAAGATAGTTTAAAGTCTAAAAGAGTTTAATTCTTTTAGCGCAACGTTATATGTGAAACGGACTTAGATAATTCACATACTAGCCCGATTCAAACGGTAATCGGTAAAGGCATATCAAATCCGTTGATGGCTGAGGATTTGCCAAAAATCCTATAAATATTATGATTATTTACTCTAAACAAGAATGAGTAATCATAATAAAATCTCAATAAACAAGAAAGTTCACTGTATTAACCAAGAATTTTCAAACAAAGCTACAAAAATATATGTCCTCCAATTACAAAAGTTTATACTGACTAATCTGATTTTCAAGTTTTGACAGCTCTAACGCACGAGCCTGTTCAAGCTCAGCTGCCAATTTGATTTTAAAGGCTTCTTCGTCAACGTTGTGAAGCGCGGCGACCTCTTGTTCCTTTTCAGCAATCATTTGATCTTGAAGGTTCAATTGCTGTAATAAGTTACCTTCAGTGTGAATTTCCCGCTTCAACTCGGACTCCAAGACATCATGAGCATCCTTGGCCATTGCAAGTTCCTCCTCTAAGCGAGCTATTTCTGCTCGACTCGATTCTAAATCCCGACGTAGGTTAACCTGGGCTTGTGTTCTCTTAGCTGTTGGAGCTCGAGATTAGCTGATGTTTGGGAATCACGCAATGCTTGTAGCTTGGAGTCCATGCGAGAAGCAATGTAGGAAGGTACGCTTTCAGTGCGAAGACCCCTCAGAAGGTCAACATGTTGCTTCAAGTCAACCATGTAGGCGTTGATCGAATCGGCTAAATCATTATATCCTTCATCACGGATCCCTGATATATAGCGGTCAAGAGGTTTCTTAAAACTCTCAAATCGCGATCCTTTGGAGAGAATACGATCAACCATAGAATTCAAAAAGGAGATGAAGCCGTCGAGATCAGAGCAAATGCCGGCTTTATCCGGATCCTCGTCTGCTAACAAAGCTCGGATGCGATCTGATAATGAAAATGAAGGAACTGCGATGAAGGCAAATAGGTCAGTACAGGACATATATATACATACAAAACAACAAACTAAGACATACCAAGTTCGATGGAAGAACCTTCAGCATGACTTAGTTCACCCGAGGGTGGTAACCTGATTTTCGGAACAACCAAGGTTGATTCAGGAATGGTAGCTGTTGATGCACCCGCTACATCAAAGGCTTTTTCAATTAAAGCTTCAGAAGACGGCGGGTCCAAGCTAAGAGGTTCTTTAAGAGTTGATTCTACAAACGAAGGAGTTACAATGAGCATAATAGAATGATGAATCAAAACATAAAATAAAATTATGGGTAAAATGTACCAGCTCTAGGCATAACATCAGCCGACGTACCAACGCCTTCAGTTGGTCTCGCTTTTGTTGCGACCGGACTAATCTGGGGAGTGACAGTGACTTCTATCATCATAGGGTCCATAGGAGTAGAAGGTTGAGGCTCAAGAACTGATGATTGCAAATCAACCTCAGTTCCTGCCCATGGCACGAGTTCTCAGAAGGACCTGCTTCTGTTGGACCGACTCCAACGTTGGATTCCGTGGCTGCACCAGGAGTTTTCCCCGATAGTAAGTCGGAGATATACTCATGGTCGCCTTCAGAGAGATTGAAATCGAGGTGATGTTCATTGAATTCCTCGACCTCTGTTGTATGCGTGGTCTCTCCTCCAACAGATTCGTGCATTGTGACATCTACAAAATGTGTTGAGTCGTAAATGACACATAAATTTAGACGAATTTGCTCAAAAAAGACAATTAATTTTACCTTCGTTGGTCGGGGCTGATTCGAGAGCTCCACTACTGGTACCTGCTTCTTTTAATTTGACTAAAAGGAGAGAAAGCGCACAGGTCATTAGAGGAGGCACACGGTCCGACTCATTCATTTCTCGGATTTCTCTTCCGAGAGGAGAAAGATCAGTACCTGTGTCCGCAGCTGATGGATCAACGTCAGGAGTGGGTGGAACATCAGCCGATCCTTCCTTCAGAGCATCATGCATTTGTTGGACGAAGCTTGTTTCCTCAATTTCCATACCTCCGGGAGAAGCAGCATCAGCTGGCAATTCTCCTTCCTCTCGACTCCCTGCAGAAGTTGAACATGAAATAAGTTTGAACGACAAAAAGTGTAAAAGCTATAAAAACAAATCGTTACCTTGTTCATCAGAAGAAGCACTACGACCGGATGTCTCTTCTACAGCAGGAAGATGAACGCGCGGTTTAGAAACAGCTTTCTTCTGTTTCTTCAGAGGGCGTGCATCAGAACCTTCATGACGATGTTTGGTGCGTAACTCAGCTCGGGGAGAAACTTGAGTTTGAGCTTGAGTAGAAGTTCGAGATATTTGCCGACGAATGAGAGGCACCATATCCTCTTCATCCTCTTCGTCGCAACTAAGAACTTCTACCGTCATCCGGTTAGGATGTTCCATGACGACTCTTTCCTTACGTTTCTTTGGAGCAGCTTGTGGTTGGGTCGGAGCGACAGAAGGCCTTACAAGTCCTCTATCAAAGAATGAATCGGGAAGGCCAGATACTTCCTCAGAACTTGATTCATTCTCACCTTCCCCTTCTGAAGTTTCGGTTGCTTCACTATCAAACTCCTCTTCACTATCAACTGGGAGAGCCGGTTCCTTTCCTTTCCTTGATGATTCAGCAGCCTCTTTTCCTCGAGGCGACATCACAGCTTCACGGGTCGGTTCTGTTGCTTGCCGGGGAGCTATTTCTTCCTCCGAGTCTGATATCCTTCTACGTCGAGTGGCAATATTGGTGGCTATCAGCCATTTGCAGAAGAGAAAGGTCATCCTTAGGGGCGGCGCCACTAAAGGAAGATCAAATTCAACATTTGTGCAGCCAGCAATGCTCCAGAACCAAGCCCTCACACCATCGATAAGTCCACCTCGAAAGCTAAGGTGGCGGTTTGGATTGCCGACATATATCTGATCATACCCGAATTGACGGGCGAATCGACATGGGAGATAGGGTTCAATGTGGCAAACATCCCTTACTCTGAAGAACAGATATCCAGGTCGAATATTCATCAACCATCTGAAGCACCCGACATCCAAGATAGTGCGATTCTGCCTTGGGTCTTCAGCATCTACTAAAGTAGTCTCGCACCATCGATAAGTCCATCTCGAAAGCTAAGGTGGCGGTTTGGATTGCCGACATATATCTGATCATACCCGAATTGACGGGCGAATCGACATGGGAGATAGGGTTCAATGTGGCAAACATCCCTTACTCTGAAGAACAGATATCCAGGTCGAATATTCATCAACCATCTGAAGCACCCGACATCCAAGATAGTGCGATTCTGCCTTGGGTCTTCAGCATCTACTAAAGTAGTATTGTAGGTACCGGAGAACTGAGGGAAGCAGGGGAAGAATTCCCAACACTTGTGAATTTTAAACTGCCTCGTTATGTCGGGTTCTCGATGCCTGATCCATTTGCAATTCTCGAGACTCTGCAACAAAGGAATGCTAGAATTTGCCGTCTCAGGAGCTTCCATTAAATCTGGTCGGTGAAGTACTAACCAAGTCATCAGATAAGTATAAGGTAGCTCCAGCTTCGGAACGGACAGACTGGCAGAGGGTTTCTTTTTCTCCTGAGTAAACACGGAGATTAATTGCCGTAATCCACTATGAATATCGGCCACCATAGCGGGAAGCAAAGATAATTTGCGACCTGTAACTAGCTGGACGGCCGGATACAACACTTCCATTGGCATCGCATCTGCGGACTGATGAGGAACTACACATCTCTTTAACCATAAGGCTAGAAAACCCGCCAGCAGAGCAGTAGGGCTAATCGGAACACCAGCTTGCCACAGATAAGAGCGGAACTTAGTGCCGTGCAAAAATCCATCTTCTGAGCGCGAAGTATAAGATTGCGCGTTGGTTTTCTCTAACAGACGGTTAATTTCATCCGTACTCAAAGGAGACAATCCGCACACATCTGCCGAACGGACATCCAGGTTCTTGAAGAGATAATCAGCGAATTGTTTTAAACTGACTTGAGGAGACTTCTTTCTGGCTTTGGGCTCCATCTCGGCCATGGCTATATGATAATGGCAAGTCAATTCCCATAAAGTATCATGAGTCACAGTTGAGCTATCTTTCATCTTGTTCAGCTGATTGCTAGTTGGAAAGAACTCTTGATAGGGAACATCGCCCATAGGCAAACCAGACACCTGCATCATTTCATGCAGTGGTAATCCGAGTTCCCCGTTCTTGGTAAAGAATGTATTAGTGTCCGGGTTATAGATCTCGAACAAACAGAGGAAATGACCTACACTACTCTGCAGGCCATGCATGCTGGCACGGATCGGAACATCCAACCCTAATTTTGCTAACTCTCGCCCAAAACGGTTTAGCACATATCGGGTCATCCTGGTCCACCACCATTTGTCCCCAGAATAATGGACCCATCCATAGCATCTAAAAGTCTCTTTGGGTAATCTTTTTCCCGCTGCCGCTAACCGGTTCTTCACGGTGTTGGCTTGCACTATCTTCTCATTCTGAGGTATGTTGTCTTGTCCTAAGACACCCGGATGAAGTCCCCGTATATGAGCTCTTTCATTGGAACCTGGGGTGGCTTCCTTCCCGATGAAACCACAATGAATGCGTTCGTGATTTTCGGTCAATCTCCAGAACATCTCACGTCCAACCGATAAATTCCTGAATTGTAATAGTGAGTGATCCCGGGGGATAAAAGGCAGATATAAGAATGAGGACCCATTCTGGTGCAACCATTGCGCAGGCTGGCAGAAAGCAATCTTCGGATCTTTCACCGAATCACCAAACAAGAAATCTGGCTTCCTTATGCATTGATTCGAGTCTTGCTCCGAGATCAAGGGCGCATCTGTGATTAATCGTCGTAGAACACGACAACTACCTCGCTGGATTAATTCTCTATCACTTCCGCTATAATCAGATTTAAACTGGGGAGATGATGCAATTAACGGAATTCCCTCATAATAAGAATGGGTCACGCTACTCTGACCCATAACCGCATCAGCATTAAAGATGGAGGAAGGGAATCGGACTGATAAAAGAAACATACACATAAATTGTGTAAGTGTAGTCCTAAAATTTTAGAGAAAATGGTATATCTTACTCCATAAGATATAGTCGCCATCTCACAGCAGGTGTGACGATTTTTTTTTTTTATCTACCACATGTATAAAAAGATATGCGTTACTATGCACGAGCATTATAACGGTATACGAAAATCTTTCTATACATATGGGATGATATGAAATCGCCCCTGTGTATTATGAAGTGTGTTTTGTCCAAGCAAAACAAACACTTTTAAGCGTCGATCCCCTCAAAGGAGGATACCGGCTCTTCTCGAAGGTATCTCAAAGGATACAAACGAGGATCTGCAAGCAAATACAGGTATATACATATGGAACTGCCGAAATACAGTATTTAAATTCGTGAAAGAGTGAAAAAGATATACCTCCACGCGAGATCACAGCAGGGGCAGTCTCCTCAGGGCTCGGAACAGTCTGTTGGCCTCGGGTCCCTCG